GCAACTATGTAACAAATATAGAAGCTAAACAAAACCCCAGAAACCTGCTTTAGTCCACTGGGCTTCAGCCAGCAGGATCGCAACATTGTAAACAAAGGCCAGAAACCACTTTCAGCAGCAGAGGCCTAAGAGCTGGAGCCAAGCCTCAAAGCTAAAGCTGGCCCAGAATTAAAAAAAAGAAAAGAAAAAAGGAGCGGTCGGGAGCTTCCATCACCCTCCAGCCTGAAAACAGCCCTCAGCCCCTCACCCAGACTGGCCAGGCACCCCAGTGGGGACCCCCACCCTGAAGGATGTGTGACCAGCTGCAAACAGCCATCATCCCCTTACCCAGGCTGGCCAGGCACCCCAGTGGGGACCCCCACCCTGATCCAGGACACCCTTAAGGGCAAACCAGCCAGCCCCACCCATGCACCAGGCTTCTATCCTATATAGTAAAAGGGTAATATACCTCCCAGCACCGGGATCAGCGGAGCCGTGAGGCCTCCCAGCACCGGGATCAGCATGACAGGGGGCAGTGCCCAAACCCCCGATTGCCCTGTGGCTCTGTGTGTGACAGGGGGCAGGGCCACAACCTCCCTATCCGCCCTGCTCTGTTCGTGACAGGGGAAGGTGCCCCAACCCCCTGATCAGCCCTGCTCTGTGCCTGATAGGGGGGAGCTCCCCAACCCCCTGATCGCCCTGCGGCTCTGTGTGTGACAGGGTGCAGCGCCCCAACCCCCTGATTGGCCCTGCTCTGTGTGTGACAGGGTGTGGCGCCCCAACCCCCCCCCCCCCCCACGGGCCCTGCTCTGTGTGTGATGGGGTAGAGCCATAACCTCCCCATCGGCCCTGCCCTGAGTGTGAGAGTGGCGGTGCCCCATCCCCCTGATGGGCCCTGCTCTGTGCGTGACAGGGGGCAGTGCCCCAACCCCGATTGGCCCTGCTCTGTGCGTGACAGGGTACAGAGCCCCAACTCCCCTGATAAGCCCTGCTCTGTGAGTGACAGGGGGCAGTGCCCCAACCCCCTGATTGGCCCTGCTCTGTGCATGACAGGGTGGTGCCACAACCTCCCCATCAACCCTGCCTTGAGTGTGACAGGGGACGGTGCCCCAACCCCCCAATTGGCCCTACCCTGAGCGTGACTGAGGGTGGCATCGCAACCTCCTGATCAGCCCTGCTCTGTGCATGACAGGAGGCGGCGTCCCAACTCCCCAATTGGCCCTGCTCTGAGCTCGACCAGGGGCTGCACCTAGGGATTGGGCCTGCCCTCTGCCACCCGGGAGCAGGCCCAAGCCAGCAGGTCGTTATCTCCCGAGGGGTCCCAGATTGCGAGAGGGCACAGGCTGGGCTGAGGGACCCCCCTTTCCCCCCGAGTGCACACATTTTTGTGCACTGGGCCTCTAGTATATATATAAAAGGCTAACATGCTAAGTGTCCATCCAGGTAATGACGTCACGTAGCAATGCCCAGCTTCCTCTCCCTAGCGACTAGCCTCCTTGGAGTTTCTTCAGCCCAGGAACACAACTTGCTTTATAGCCAGGTGGAAACATTTCACACTGTAACCAAATGTCTGTGAAGCGTTTTCCCATGCCTCATCTCATTTGATCCTCACAGAAGTCCTGGAGTAGGTAGATAGGAGACTCAGTGGAATCCTATATTCTTTTCATAAGCCGGAAAACAGAGATTTAGAAAGCTTAGAAACTTGGCCCAACTAAAAAGAAATGGTGGACCTTGAAAATGACTTGAGGTTTTCTCACTGTGCAGAATATAGTCAAACACTGCTGCAGTTAAATATTTTACCCTTTGTTCTCCCCGTGTGATCTACAGTAATAATGTGCTTCATGTTGATATTTACTGCTATGTTGCTGACAATTACCTGAAAAAGAAGTTGGAGTGCTTCATTGGGCTGGAAAAAGTTGAGTTAAATCAAAAAGCAGGTCTCATTAAGCAAGTTTATTCTATATATATAAAAGGCTAAGTTGACTCGCACATGTGCAATACATATAAAGCTCTCGCTGGCGCCAATCGCATGTGTGTGTTTCATTCTGTCATGTAGATCAAGAATTTAGTTGACACTTCTGTTATAGAGAAAGGGCGATATTAAATATTTCTTCTAACTAATTTCCTTTCAATGTGCACGAATTCGTGCACTGGCCACTAGTATTGATATATTTGGAATTTGTTGGACATGACTTCCAGCAAGGCACCTGTCAGGTGCAAGCTCCTCAGCTAAGGACTTAACCCTCCTGGGTGACAGGAATCAGAACATGCATGTGCAAGCAGGCAAATGGGACATCCTTTATTCCACACAAAAGCAGCCACAGTAGGCTGGTCAATAGCAGCTTATATGCATGCTGAAACAAAAGTGGTGCTTTGACAAATGGTAACATCAGTATTTTGGTGTTACCATTTGGCAAAGGCACGTCTTCACAGTTTAATTAGGATTCCCAGGCTCAGAGTCCTGAGCAGCCTGATTATGAGTCCCAGGCTCAGAGCGGCCTTGACCATCCAGTGCACTCTAAACAGGGACCCCACAGCACCTTAAAAGACTGAGGGACAGCTAAAAATTCCCTTTTGTTTTTGTCCTTCCCTTCTTTCTACCTGGAATGTGAATAATGGCTGAAGATATAAATTGGCAGTTGACCATATTTGGATGGTATAGGTTTCCCCTACCATCACTGAGCCCTTGGACATTCCAACATTTAGTTGGTTCCCAAATGAGCACGTTCAGTATCACTTGGGTACTTCTTAGAAATGCAAATCCTCAGGCCCAGTGTTCAAGGAGCCAGGTGATTCTGATCATGCAACAGACAATTTGAGAAACACTGGTTTGGAGACTGGGAAGAGAAGGAACTACTTAAGGCAGTGGTTCTCAACCTTGGCTGCACATTAGAATCACCTGGGAATCTTTTTAAAATCCTGATTTCTGGGCCTCATCCTCCGGAAATTCTGTTTCTTTGTTATGGGGTGGGGCCACAACATTAGTAACAAAGAAACAGAATTTCCAGAGGATGAGGCCCAGAAACCAGGACTTTAAAAAGATTCCCAGGTGATTCTAATGTGCAGCTAAGGTTGAGAACCACTGACTTAAGGAGACTAAGGAGTGACCAGACAAGGAGGGATAATCAGTTTTATCAACTACTGTTAAAAATTGAGAGGATGGAGAACTGACCATTGATTTGGTAAAAAAAAAAAAACAAAAAAAAAAAACGGGATTTCTGTGGTTAGTAAAAATTAGGATATTTCCTGGTATTCCGACATGTCAACTGGTGGATCATTACATACTAGTACCCCTCCCCCCCCGTATTTTTAAGAAATTGCCCATTTCTGCTGATGGAAGGGGTGGGAACTCCCTTTCGCGGTTCTTTGAGTCAACAGCGTCATATTCTCCATATGTCCCCTCTCCTCCAGGCCTAGCCAATTGGGCCAAAGCAGACAACCTAGAGACCAGTTAGGAGGTCAGTGTGGCTATGTGGGCAGCAGAAACCAAATACAATAGGGGTTTATACAAAATACCAGTTTACACCTCACTCATGTTAAAAAGCACAAGATCTGTTCCACCAAACCCGTGGTCGGCAAACCGCGCACAGGAGCCACATGCGGCTCTTTGGCCCCTTGAGTGTGGCTCTTCCACAAAATACCACGTGCGCGCGCACACACGTACAGTGCGATGGAAACTTCGTTGCCCATGCGCAGGAGTCAGTATTTTGTGGAAGAGCCACACTCAAGGGGCCAAAGAGCTGCATGTGGCTGGCGAGCCGCAGTTTGAAGAGCCGCAGTTTGCCGACCACTGCACCCAACTGTCAGGGGCACTTCTTTGTTTTGTTGGTCCGCCATTCCTAGGGTGTTAACCTTGTCCACATGCTCATGACGACTTGTCCGTGTTCCAGCCAGCATGCAGGCGCTCTCCTCTTCACTGTAAAAAGCGCTCTTCCTTCCATCCTCCTGGCAAGAGGCGGGGGTGCCGAGAAATGTCATCTTTACTCTGGGAAGCCTAAGGCCTGGCTAAAACTGCGGACTCTATTAAGAGGCCAAACAAACCTTGTGACTTGTAGCGAAACACAGCCTTGCTGATTTGATTTTCTTTCTTGGGATTTGATCTGGGTGGAAAATTAGTTACTTTATAGTGGGAGGATAAGCAAGAGAGCATGCACTAGCCTGGAGATACCGACTCCCTGCCGGCGGCTCCTAGAGCTGCTGGGGAGTCTGGAGGCGCTGCAGGTTCATCTCCTTGCGGTCCGCGGGACCTGTGGGGACCTGGCTTTTTCTGGGTTGAGGTAATTTCCGGGGCTGAGATCCTACTTTCCCTTATTCCGAGGTGCAGCCCGGAATAAACATCCCGGGTTACTTGGGGTGATCTCCGTCCCCACCACAAGGGGCCTAAAGCCGGGGAGACGCAGTACAGGGGACGCGATGCAGGCGCCTCCCCTCCGAGCGAGCTCAGCAGCCGAGGCGGGAATCCTGTGGATGGGGGCGCGGCCCTCCGCGGGGTCCAGTTGCAGGGAGTGAGGGTTCCGAGCGAGGTGCGGTTCGGCGCGGCCGAGGGCATCTTTCGAGGCCAGAGCCCAGAGACGGCCTAGAAGAAGGGGTAACCTTTCTTGTGCCTGGAAGGCGACTTCCGAGCGGCCGAGCACTCCCGGGGGCCTGCACTCACTGACAGGATACAAGGCCGTGACAGCGGAAGGCTGCCTGACTGGAGTGCCCGGGAGCCTCTGGGAAGCAGCGTCCGGTGACGTGCTACACCGCGCAGAGGGTTCTGGGAGTTGTAGTTCGACCTTGTTTTCGGGCTGGCGGGTCTTGGACCCGCTGGCTCCTAGATGCCTCTGTCTCTGGCCCGGCTTCCTCCGTGTCTAGCGTGAAATCGAGCCTGGGGTGGAGGAGGGCTGAGCGCGGGTCCTCTAAACCGGAGTGGCTGGAGGGAGGGCGCAGGGAGCCCCCGGGTAGGCGCCCGGCGGCCCGGTGAGGGTCGCGCGCTTTCCCGGGCCTCTGGGTGGACAGAGCGGTGGACCCTGGTCTCGCGGTGGGGGCCTCCTGCACGGTCCAGGGAGGGAGTCGCCGTTCAGCCTGGGGGCAGAGGTGAGAATTTCGGAGGAATACGCGGTGCCTGCTGTAGAGATGAAAGGGGAAAGGCTGCCCTCTGCCTGGGGCCGGCTCGAATGGGCAGCATCCGACTTCTCTGGGAGAGCCCCTTCCCGGAGGGAGAGCTGCTACCTGCACTGCCTGCTTGCCTGCAGGGTGCGCCTGCCTCCTTGCCCCCAAATCTACAGATCTGTTTGACTTTTGATAACGACCCCAACTCTTGTTGGGAAGGAGATACGACCCTTTTGGCAGATGGGGAAAGTGAGGATTTGAGAAATCACAAGATTTGTCTAGAATCCTTGATATTTCCCTTCAAGACCCATCGCTTTACTGCGAAAGCAAGTATTGTATCCGAAAAACCAGTGTTCAAAAAGAATTTAGTCTTCCTCCCTCCAGTGAGCCTGGAATAGAGCCGGAGTGAATCCTTAAGGGAGACAGGGATTGACACAGATTCTTTGATTATTATTTTGACTATCGCTCAGCAGATGACAGAAATATGTGTTTAACTTATGTGTCTAGAGGAGTTCTGTTGAAGTTTAAGGAAGCGGAGGATAGGAGGAGCCTGAGGCAGCCATGGTCATGGCCGTCTTGATTCAGAGATGTTGTGGGATTATCCCTTGGTTCCCTGGGTGATTCTTTTAGGTGACAAGTAGATGTGTGTGGCAGTTTTAGCGAGTTCACTGCAAGGCAAGAGTATTCATCCTGGCTCCTTTCTCCACTTCCAGGGTCACTTTCTGAGGACTCAGACCTTCTCCATGCTGGGAACCCAGAAGAAAGGGGCGTGCTCACTGTGCTGCTGACCCCTGCAGCCCAGGTGGGTCTAGATTACTTCTTTTTCCCCTTCTGTTCTCAGATCATGGATATGGTTTCTTCCATTGTTATGGAATTGCTCAGCTCTGAGTCCTAGACCACTGTGTTTACCCTGATAAACCGAGGAGAGATGAACTTCATGACACATGCTCCTCACTGTACAGAACTTTCCCTCCTGGCATTACTTCTCCCCTCCCCACTTAGTGCTTAATGCACACTTAGTAGCTCTGCAGTAATGTAGTTGGCCTCATGGTGAAAGGCAAAGTAATAAAAGCCACTTGCTCCTATCTCATGAAGTTAACAAGGAGGTAAGATGTAGATAAGTAAAATAACTCAATAGCAAGAAGAAATATACATACATATTTTTAAATGCAGAAATGACTGGCAGGGACAAGTCATAATAGAACCTGGAAGAGGTTTGCCATCCTCTAGAATATTGGGGGGGGGGGGGGGGGGAAAGACTGGGATCAAAAGCTGCACTTTCAAAAACAAGAGAGAGTATGGAGTTGGAGGGTAAAATATAGGCATGTTCCAAGAGAGACCAGCTTTGGCAAAGAAAAGTCTCCAAGTGATGAGAGAGTTGGAGGTCTTTAAGGGGTGTGTGTGTATCTCTGTGGAGTGAGCAGGAGTGTGGTGAGGGAAGCTGGGGTATGTTGTAGCCAGACCACAGGAAAACCTACACTGGGTCTTATTCCCAAGGCCCACAGGATGAAACGTGCCACGGCCGATTGGAGAGAGAAGATTGGTCAAAATGCTTCTCTAGGGGCTGGCCTAGGACACCGAGAAAGGCAGACCCGGGGTAAAGGCTCTGGAACCACTTTTTAGCCTCAGCCCTGGCCTCATAGCACACAGGTGCAGAAGGTTCGTGTGAAACTCTGGGAGAAAACACCAGTACTGGTTCTGATGTGTGAATTTGTAGATTTCCTTCAGAGGAAAGGAAGGCTGGAGAGAAAGTCGGTAGCATCTGCTGGACAGTGTCTGCTTAGCCTGCCCATGCCCCCAGCGCCAGCACATGCACACTGAGCAGTAGCTCCATAAATGAATTTGATTACTGAGGTTTTCTCAGGGAACTGACGTCTGAAAGGAACTGCCAGTTTGTCTGTTATTGTGAGCATTGTTTGTGAAGAAAGACTATAAATTACAGTTGCCCCTTGAACAACACGGTTTGAACTGCACAGGTCCAATTATATGCCAGTTTTTTTCAATCCTATATAAAAGCATGATATGCAAATCGACGGAAGGGCAGAAGGACTGGTCGCTATGATGCGCACTGACCACCAGGAGGCAGATGCTCAATGCAGGAGCTGTTCCCTGGTGGTCAGTGCGCTCCCACAGGGGGAGCACTGCTCAGCCAGACAGCTGGCTAGCCCAGTGACAGTGATGGGAGACTCTCCTGTCTCTGCTGCAGGTGGGCAGTAAGGAGCGAGGGGTCCCGGACTGCAAGAGGGATGTCTGCCTGCCAGCTTAGGGGGCTTAGGAATTGGGCCTAAGCTGGCAGGCAGACATCCCCCGAGGGGCCCTCCAACCCCCCAGTGCATGAATCTTGTGCACCGGGCCTCTAGTATATACTATAAATATATTTTCCTAGTGATTTCCTTAATAAAGTTTTCTTTAGCTTACTTAAAAATACAGTATACAATATGTGTAATATACAAAAATGTGTTAATCGACTTTATGTTATTGGTAAGGATAGGCTATTAGTAGTTAAATGTTGGGGAAGTCAAAAGTTATATGTGAATTTTCAGCTGTGCAGGGTGGGATATCAGCACTCCTAATCTCCCTATTGTTCAAGGGTCAACTATGTTTTGCTTGTGTTGATCACTCCTGAAGTGTTTGGCCTTAAGGGACCATCAACTGAAATAAGAGAGTAGTGATTTCATACTTCAAGTATTAGAATAATGAATTAAATTATTTTGGGCAGGGGATTTTCAAAGTAGGTAGTTCTTTAAATGTATTTCATTATGTGAATTGTTTGATCAGTTGTTCTTGAAGAGCTATGTCATACACTTTACAATACTGAATATAAACAGTTAATCTTTATATTCATACATACGTTCAGGGAGCTATGACAACAGTGGTGGTTCAAAAAGGGATAAGACTGGTTCATTTGCTAGCATCCCCCAGGGACAGATCTATTTTAATGTGTCTCATTTAAGTTGAATTTGTATAGAAATTTTTTTACAGAATTAGAAAAATGATTAGACATTTTACTTAGCAGCAGTAAGCAGACTCAGCTACACATTCAAAGGAGCATTATCCACCATGCTCCCTCGCCCCACATTTTAGCAGACAGTCTAAACTTTGTGCCTAACATCTAGATCAAGGTTAGGCTACATTCCTGCAATGTTTGCAGTGTTTGACACACTTTTTTTTTTTAAAGATACAGACACACTTTTATTAAATAACTTCACAACAATTACTTTTAAGGCCAATTCTGAGAATGTAACCTTTCTGTGTGCCCCCACAAAAGGTAATGTTTGTGTATTTCTTTATTGATAAACACACAAGATTGTTATAAAAATAACGTTGAAATCAATCTATTTTAAGTCTCTGAAATATCAACAGCTCTCCTTCACATCACACTCAAAATTTAAAAAAAGACAAAAAGGCTGTTTCATTCCCAGTTTCAACCAAATTTCTTTCTCTAATTCTTCTTCTTCTTCTTCTTCTTTTTTTTTTAATCTTTACCCGAGGATATTTTTTCCATTGATTTCTAGAGAGAGTGGACCGGGAATAGAACCTGTGACCCTTTAGCCTGCAGGCTGATACTCTAACCACTAAATAAAACTGGCCAGGGCCTTTTCCTAATTCTTATGTCCTCAAATACATCCTTTAAACCAGAGGTGACCAAGCTTTTGGACCTCACAGACCACTAGTGGTCCGCGGACCACCGGTTGGCAACCACTGCTTTAAACCTCCATTCAAAGACTTAGTTGTTGGAAAAACATTAATTTGTAAAGTCCAATGCTTACATACTATCTTTTTCCCCCCACTTTATTTTATTTCAAGAAAAACTTTTATTTTTTTTTATTAATTTATTGCTTAAAGTATTACAAAGGGTATTACATATGTGTCCATTTTATCCCCCCGCCCTAGACAGTCCCCTAGCAAGAAAAACTTTTAAATATAATAATGTTACATGCAGTAAACCTTAATATTTCAAGAAAAATGATCTTAAATATAATAATGTTACATGCAGTAAATATCTCAAGAAAAACGATTTAAAATATGATAATGTTACATGCAATAAACACCAATTGTTCAAGAAAAATAATCTTACATATAATATTACATGCAGTAAACATTAATTTTCAAGAATAAAAGGATTTTAAGTATAATAATATTACCAAAACTGCTAACATAGTATGATATCACAAAAGTTGTAAGAAATATTAAAAATCTGAAAATAACAGGATTGCTTCTATTATATTCTAGAATATTTTTCCCCCTCTGGCTCTATTTTTGTTCATCAGTTTATGTTATTCATTATATTTCACAAATGATTGAGATCTTGTGATATTTATCTTTCTCTGACTGGCTTATTTCACTTAGCATGATGCTCTCCAGGTCCATCCATGCTGTTGCAAATGGTAAGAGTTCCTTCTTTTTTATAGCACCGTAGTATTTCATTGGGTAGATGTACCACAGTTTTCTAATCCACTCATCTGCTGATGGGCACTTGGGCTGTTTCCAAATCTTAGCTATTGTAAATTGTGCTGCTATGATCATAGGGGTGCATATATCCTTTCTGATTGGTGTTTCTGATTTCTTGGGATATATTTCTAGAAGTGGGATCACTGGGTCAAATGGGAGTTCCATTTTTATTTTTTTGAGAAAACTCCATACTGTTTTCCACAGTGGCTGCACCAGTCTGCATTCCCACCAGCAGTGCACGAGGGTTCCTTTTTCTCTGCATCCTCGCCAGCACTTGTCGTTTGTTGATGATAGCCATTCTGACAGGTGTGAGTTGATACCTCATTGTCATTTTGATTTGCATCTCTCGGATGATTAATGACTTTGAGCATGTTTTCATGTCTCTTGGCCTCCCCCACAGATGAGATATCTCTTCGGGACTTCAGTTGCTGTCTGTGGGTGCCTGGCCAGCCCTTTCATGCCTCCGCCCCTCCTCCCAGTCTCTATGTGGTCTCCACCTTTGGTTCTTAGATATCAGGGTTCTCTTCTGTTGAATTTTCCATTGATTATTTAGGAAGCCTTTCCGTATTTCAGTTGTATTTCCAGCTTGTTCCTGGGAGCATGTCCATGCAGCATCCTCCTACTCTGCCTCCATTTTTAATCCCTTACATACTATCTTGAGGGAAGGGCAGTCCTATCACTTCAACCTCAAGCTCAATGAAGGCAGTGGCCACCTTCTTCTGCATCCCCCTACAGGACTTAGACCAGGGGTCCTCAAACTACGGCCCGCGGGCCACATGCAAATACAAATATTGTATTTGTTCCCATTTTGTTTTTTTACTTCAAAATAAGATATGTGCAGTATGCATAGGAATTTGTTCATAGTTTTTTTTTTAAACTATAGTCCGGCCCTCCAACGGTCTGAGGGACAGTGAACTGGTCCCCTGTTTGAAAAGTTTGAGGACCCCTGACTTAGACCTTAACATTTAGAATAGTTCTTGGTTTACTAGTATAGGCAGGCAGGTTGGAGAGTGAACTTTATTTCCTCCTCTTTCCTCCTTGGTGTTTCCCTCCTTTCCTCTTGCACCCAAGCCAGGTAGCCCACAATTCATCTTGCCTCCCAAGCCTCCTTGGCTCTTCCCCTCCCATCCCTCTGGGTGGGTGGACCCCCCTTCCTTTTGCCTCCAGGACCCTGCCCCGCCTTTCTCTTGCTCATTTGGCTCATTTTCCTCCTCTTGGCCACTTCCTTCTGGTCCTCCTCTTTCATCTGCTTATAGGTGGCCCTCATCACGTCCAACTGAGGCGTTTTGCTGTTCATGACTCACAGCATCTCCAACTGGCTTTTTTTCTCCCCTGCAAATTCCTTGAAAGGGCCTGAAACTTCCTCTTCTTGCCAGATCCTTGGGGCACCTTCTCTTTGGGAGGTGCACCTGGAAGTGCCCCACAGAAGCAGTGGAGACCTTGGCCACTTGCAAGGCATGGCCCTGCTCCTCCTTACTCTTGTGTCTGGTAGGGTGCATATCGGCCTGTGCACGTGGGCTAAATTATGCAGCCAGTTCCGCTCGTTCTTGGCCACCTGTTTCTTCTTAGCCTGAATCTACTTGGTGAACAGATTCTCCAAGGGGTCAGCATTGCTGGACACCTTGATCAGCCATTCCTTGGTGTTGTCGCGGGCGTGCTGGTAGCCCCAGCGGTGCCACCATGGCCACTCACCTCACCCCACACCAGAGTGGTTTTCTTCTTGGGTCAAATGCCCTTGAGGCGTGCGAACTGCTGCCAGCTTATAAGCTGCATGGCCAGGGCACCAACTTCTTGTGCGGCAGGCAAGTGGTGGGCTCCGGCAGCCACACCACCAGTGCCTCCTCCTTGAGCTCCATGGTTGCTGAGCAGCTGCATGTTGTCCCGCACCAAGGCCTACAGTTAGCTCACCAAGGCCCACAGTTCAGCCTCCAGGTATGGGTCCCTGCACTGCAGACCCATGAAGGGCTTCCAGTCAGAGGCCAGCAGGTTACCCAGGTGGAACTCCAGCTCCAGCTCCTGGTGCACCATGATGTTCTGCATCTTCTTGGCTTCATCCTGCTCGGCCTTTGCCAGAAGCTTCTTCACGCTCTGTACCTCCATGGCTCCAGTTTGGCTCACTAGCTTCGGAAGACAGATCCTGTTTGATACACTTCTGTTCCCCTCCCCACCTCTGTTCCCACGCACACTTTTATAGAACACCCCATTTAAAAGGTTGTTTCTACGGATTCTTGTTCAAGTGTTCCTTCCTTCCTTCAACTGTCTGACCGATACAGTGTGCCAGATACCAGGGCTGCTTCAGTGAGGGAAAACAGAACTAGCCTCTGCTCTCCAGGTGCTTAATGGTGAATGAGACAGAGAGATACTGATCAGAAAGTCTCCTCAATGTGTGCATGATCTAAGAGAAGGGAAGGAACATGGTGCTACAACCCAGAGAGTCCGGGAAGGCTTCCCTGAAGGGTGACACCTGAGCTGAGATCTGAAACATGAGTGGGATTTGGAGAGCTGAAGGATGCGCAAGGGGAGAGCATTGTGGAGAGGCGGCCACACACAGCCCAGAGACTGCAGAAGGAGCAATGTATGGTGGAGTTGAGGGCAGATCAGATGACAGGAGGGAGTCAGACCCATCAGGCCTCTATGATGCTGGCAATTGAGATATGTCAAAGACAAGTCATAGTGCTTCTTTTAAGTGGAAAGGTATGTACGTATAAGAAAAAACATACTGCATATAGGGTTCAGTACTGTCTGCAGTTTCAGGCATCTGGTGTGGATCTTAGAACATGTTCCTCAAAAATAATGGGGACTGTTATACACCAGAGAATCTTAGTGTTGGAAGGGATGTTAGAGGTCATTTTGTCTAGCCTTCCCATCCTTCATGTCTTCCTTCTTCTGTCTGTCACTTTGAGTCCTTCCCAGAGACCTCTGGAAGGTGGTCCTTTGGTGAGCATGGATGTATTTGGTTTTTCAGGAGTCGCTCATGATCAGGGATATGGCTGAGGCTCTCGCCCAGTGGGGACAGCTGAACCCTCTGCAGGGAGATGTGCCTGAGAAGCATAGGAATCTGGTCTTGCTGGGTAAGGATAGCTCCTCGGTCCCTGTGAGCTTTGCTTCCTCAGTGCCAAGGAACTCAGAGGTTCTTAGATTAACCAGCTAACTGCCATGATATTTTGAATTTAATTTAAAAAGGTCCGCCACTTGTATCTATAGACGCTTATGGCATACAAATGGTTAAAAGAGTCTTAATTTCTAAAAGGCCTGAGACATGTAATTTCTGCTTTTTGTTTCTGGATATTGTTAACCCCTAGAGTTAGAAATGGACTTCTTTTTATTGAATTAGTAATAGCCTTCTTTTCTATTATCTGACCAAAGATATTAAGATGAAGTTCTAGTGAAAATACCTCTAAAGAAGTGGGTGCTTATTATTTTAATAGGGAGAGGTAGAAATAGGGACTTAATTGTTCTGAACTCAAATAGACCCCGTATCAACCTTCCTGTCTCCTGAGCACTGGTGAGGGAGAAATCCAGAACCCACCTCTCATATAGGGTCTTTCCTAATGACCAAAGAGCTAATCCTGGGCTTTTTACCAGACTTCTTTTTCTTTCCATGAACAGGGCTTCCAATTTCCAAGCCTGATGTAATCTCTCAGTTGGAGTCTGGGGAGAAGCTGGAGAGAGAAGCCTCAAAAACCACTAGTCCAGGTGAGTGCGCGTTGGAAACAGAGAACTTAAAACCCTCATGGCCATTGAAATGCTTGTGAAGGAGCCTTTCAGATTTTGCTAGACCGTAGAAAAGTTGAAGTCCCTTTCTCCTGTGCCACACTTTACCCTCTGTGGATGATGATCCTATATAATAAAAGGCTAATATGCAAATCGACCAAATTGCGGAACGACCGGTTGCCATGATGTGCACTGACCACCCAGGGGCAGACGCTCAACAAGGGGCTTCCCGGAATGGTCAGTGCGCTCCCACAGGGGGAGCACTGCTCAGCCACAAGTGGGGAGTGGGCTTAAACTGTCAGTCGGACATCCCCTATGGGCTCCTGGACTGCAAAAGGACACAGGCTGGGCTGAGGTGCCCGTACCCCCCACCCCACGCCCCCTGAGTGCACAAATTTTGTGCACTTGGGCCTCTAGTCTGTTATAAATTCATAATTTTATATTTTAGAAAGTACTTTCTACTCTTTTAAACCAATCCCCCCTCTCCCCAATAAAGTGAAATGAAAGTAGCATTTTAATGTATGTTAATAATTTGCATGGGTGCAAGGCTCTAAACTAGGCTTTTCATGTATGTTATTTTACCGCTGAGGGTAGTGTGACTCTTTGTCTAACAGCAATGGCTATAAATTGATCTCTGAATTTCCCCTTGACTTCTTCTATTTAAGCAGAGGCAGCATAGCATGTGGGTATGAGTTCAGACTTTGGACCCAACCTTCCCAAGTACAAGCCAGAATTTCAGCTACTCAAGCTCTGTGACCTCTAATAAGTTAATTATCCTCTTAGCTGGAAGTCCATTTGCCTGTAACCTGTATCTATCTATTTGTCCTTTAAAATCTTAGGCACTTCCCTAATTAGGATATGTAGTTGAGAACATTTGATCATATTGACTTATTGTATACTAGAGGCCCAGTGCACAAAAATTTGTGCACTCGGGGGGGGGGGGGGGGTCCCTCAGCCCGGCCTGTGCCCTCTCGCAGTCTGGGACCCCTCGGGAGATAAAGACCTGCTGGCTTAGGCCTGCTCCCGGGTGGCAGAGGGCAGGCCCAATCCCTAGGTGCAGCCCCTGGTCGGGCTCAGAGCAGGGCCGATTGGGGAGTTGGGGCGCCGCCCCGTCATGCACAGAGCAGGGCAGATTGGGAGGTTGTGATGCCACCCTCAGTCACGCTCAGGGTAGGGCCGATTGGGGGTTGGGGCACCATCCCCTGTCACACTCAAGGCAGGGTCGATGGGGAGGTTGCGGCACCACCCCCTGTCACGCACAGAGCAGGGCCAATCAGGGGGTTGGGGTGCTGCCCCCGTCACACACAGAGCAGGGCCCATCAGGGGGTTGGGGCACCGCCCTCTGTCACCCACAGAGCAGGGCCGATCAGGGGGTTGGGGCGCCGCCACTCTCACACTCAGGGCAGGGCCGATGGGGAGGTTATGGCTCTACCCCATCACACACAGAGCAGGGCCCGTGGGGGGGGGGGGTTGGGGAGCTCCCCCCATCAGGCACAGAGCAGGGCTGCTCAGGGGGCTGGGGCCCTGCCCCCTGTCACACACAGAGCCGCAGGGCGATCAGGGGGTTTGGGCGCTGCCCCCTGTCACGCTGATCCCGGTGCCGGGAGGACTCTCGGCTCCGCTGATCCCGGTGCTGGGAGGCATATTACCCTTTTACTATATAGGATAGAGGCCTGGTGCATGGGTGGGGGCTGGCTGGTTTGCCCTGAAGGGTGTCCTGGATCAGGGTGGGGGTCCCCACTGGGGTGCCTGGCCAGTCTGGGTGAGGGGCTGAGGGCTTTTTAGAGGCTGGGAGTGACTGAAGTTCCCAATCGCTCCTTTTTTTCTTTCTTTTTTTTTTAATTCTGGGCCAGCTTTACCTTGAGGTTTGGCTCCAGCGCTTAGGCCTCCGCGCAGCTGAAAGTAGGTTTCTGGCCTTTGCTTACAATGTTGCGAATCTGCTGACTGAAGTCCGGCGGTATTTTTTACAATGTTTCTTAAACTGCCCGCTCAGAGGCCTGCAGCCACAGGCGGGGAACGTTGGTTTCCTCCACCGATCCTCCGTCACTGAGGCAAGCAAGCCTCATGTTAGTTTCAAGCTGCCTGGCTGCCGGCCGCCGTCTTGGCTGACAGTTAATTTGCATATCTTGCTGATTAGCCAATGAAAAGGGTAGCGGTCGTACGCCAATTACCATGTTTCTCTTTTATTAGTGTAGATACCATCATGGTTGGAATGGATATTAAAGACCATTTAAGCCTGGAAATGTTTAAACTTTTTTAGCAGTGAAGCTTCCCCTCCAAACCCTTACTGAAAAGGCTAGCATTTGGGGGTAGCAATCCTGACAGGTTGGGGACCAATCTGAGTACATGGGGATTTGACCTTCCCCTCTCTACATGCTATTCATTTAAAAAAAAAACACAAAACCAACTTAGTGTTATTTTACTCTTTGCAGTTTGTGGGGTATAGGGCAGTCAGAGAATGACCAGTTGCTTCTGAATTACTAAGCTTTGTGATGATTTGAATTTGTAGATATTTTTTTAAAGTGTGTTTTTATTGATATTAGAGAGAGAGAAAGGGAAGGGGAGAGAAACATGGATGTGAAAGAGAAACATCAATTGGCTGCCTCCTGCACGGCCCCTACTGGGGACTGAGCCCACAACCCAGGCATGTATCTGCCCTACTGGGACCCTTCATTCTGAAGGCCAACACTCTATCTACTGAGCAAAACTGCCTAGGCCCCCACTGGGAATTGAACTGGTGACCTCTTGGTGCATGGGATAACACTCAACCAACTGAGCCACACTGGCCAGGGCGAATTTGTAGATCTTGACCATTTTGAATGCTAGTTCCTAGAATATGTATCTCATCTCAAGACAGTAGAACTAACAGATTTTTGTGTGAGAGTGGTAGTTTTGGAAGGTTAGTCTGTTAGTGTTGAGTGGGATATTTTGGAGTGGGAAAAGATTGGCAGAAGGAGATCAGCTAATGATAGTCATTCTAAAGGTGTGAAGTGATAATGCCATGGTGTGGTGCTGGCAATGGGCAGTCTCTGGGAAACTCTATTTCTCTGACCCCAGACCTGTTTCCCCAGACTGTTTTTTATGCCTCTGCTTAGTCTTATTCCATTAGTTTTTCTCATTTCCTAGCCGCTGGACAGAGGAATTGTGAAGGGCTACTCACCCTCTCCCTGTATGCAGCTGTACTTCTTTGCCCAGTCATCTTTCTTTTCTCATGTTCTCTTAAGATTGCAAGGCTGTTTGGAGAGCTTTTAAATTCATGTCTTCCCTATAGCAGTTTTTATTTGTTTTACTGTTCCCACCACAGTAATTACCTTACTCTCAGTTTAGTAAATGATACATGTTCATTTTTGTTTCTGTTAGACTGGGAGATAAGACCAGAAGGCAAGAAGCTAACTCGAGAGCAGGATGTTTCTGAAGAAGAGTCAGCCCCTGGAGTGTTAATTGAAAGATTTCCAAAGGAAGGTGACAGTGGATGTGAGGATTCTCTAGAGAGTCAGCAGGAAAACCAGGAGAAACATTTAATACAAGAAGTTGTCACTCAGAAGAAATCTGGGGAGAGAAGTTACCAGTGTGATGAATTTGGAAGAAATTTTGGCCGGAGGTCATTACTTGTTCAACAGCAAGGAGAAAGACTACATAATTGTGATTCATTGAAAAAGAACCTAAAACAAAATTCAGATCTAATGAGGCATAAGAGAATTTGTGCAGGGAAAAAACCCTGGAAGTGTAGTGAGTGTGAGAAAGCCTTTAGTTATTACTCAGCTTTTGTTTTGCATCAGAGAATTCACACAGGAGAAAAGCCCTATGAGTGTAATGAGTGTGGCAAAGCCTTTAGCCAGAGTATACACCTTACTCTCCACCAGAGAATTCATACCGGAGAAAAGCCCTACAGATGTCACGAATGTGGGAAAGCCTTTAGTCACCGATCAGCCCTTATTCGCCATCACATAATTCACACTGGAGAGAAACCTTATGAATGCAATGAATGTGGGAAGGCCTTTAATCAGAGCTCATATCTCACTCAACATCAGCGAATCCACACCGGAGAGAAACCTTATGAGTGTAATGAATGTGGGAAGGCCTTCAGCCAAAGCACATTTCTTACCCAGCATCAGGTCATTCACACTGGAGAGAAACCCTATAAGTGTAACGAATGTGGGAAAGCTTTCAGTGATCGTTCAGGCCTCATCCAGCACCAGAGAACTCATACTGGGGAGAGGCCTTATGAGTGTAATGAATGTGGGAAAGCCTTTGGCTACTGTTCAGCCCTGACTCAACACCAGAGAACTCACACAGGGGAGAAACCCTATAAATGCAGTGATTGTGCCAAAGCCTTCAGTGACCGTTCAGCCCTCATCCGTCATCAAAGAACACACACTGGAGAGAAACCTTACAAGTGTAATGATTGTGGGAAAGCCTTCAGCCAGAGCTCATCTCTCACAAAGCACCAGAAAACTCACACTGGAGAAAAACCTTATAAGTGTAAGGAATGTGGAAAAGCCTTCAGCCAGAGTTCATCCCTTTCTCAACATCAGAAAACTCATGCTGGAGGGAAAACCAAAGAATATGGAAAAGTCTTTAGTGAGCATTCATCCTTTGGCCAGCAAAATAGAATTCATAATGGTTAAAGACTGTAAATTTTTTTCCTGGGTGTGACTAATCATCTGAGTAGTTATCTCAATCAACAATTCTTGAGGGGACAATTGTTGATTGAGATAACTACTCAGATGATTACGCACATCCAGGGAAAAATGAGGCCTGTGAGTTAGCCAGTCACAAAGTTCCCATGAGGGCAGCTTCCCCTGAATCCACAGCACATTGGCCTGGCAGTTCACTTTTGCACTTTGTGTCTTTTAGACCTTGCTTATTGAGACATCTACTGAAAATCATGTTAATTACCAGGGTCAGACCTGTAGCCTAGAAAGGGGGAGTACAGAGGGGCCTTTGATGTTTTCTGTGTTTTAAGCTGAGTTACTTGATAATGCGCTTATTTATGAAGATTTACCTTCATTGTATGTAGTTTGTACTTTAGACTTTTTCATACCATAGTAAAATTTAGTTGTGGGCCTGAACTGACACTGAATATTAGGTTGTGAAAATTTGAAAAGACTTTGAAATACTTGCCTTTCACCATTTTATTTTTGGGTAGAAGAAGATGACATGATATATATATTTTTTAATTGAAATTTTGAAGGTTATTATTAGAAACGTTTTGAGTGCTGTGTTTTTAATTTTTGAATTTGACTAAGATATATCTTTGTGTAGATTTCTTTGAATTTATCCTGTTTGCTAAGCTTGAATCTGTAGGTTTATGTCTTTTGCTAAATTGGGGGAATTTTCAGCTATCATTTCTTTGAATACATTTTCAGCCTCCACCTCCCAAACCTTCTCTCCTTCCAGGACGCTGAAACAAATGTTAGGTCGTTGCTTGTAATATCACAGGTTCCTGAGACTCTATTCATTGTTTTTCACTATATGTTTATCTTAACCTGCTCAGGCTGTCATTAAAATAACATGCCATAGACTGGGTGGTTCAAACAACAGAAATTTATTCCTCAGAATTATGGAGGATACAAGTCCAAGATCAAGGTGTTGGCTTCGGTCTCTGGTCCTGGATCTCGTCCTGGCTTTCTTGCCTACTGTATCCTCGCATGGCCTTTCCTTGATGTATGCCTGTGGAAAGAGTGGCAAGATCTCTCTTCCTTAGCTTTAAAGGCCACCAGTCCTATCAGATTAGGACCCCAACCTTATGACCTCATTTAACCTTAATTACCTCTAAAAAGTCCTTTCTCCAAACACTGTCACATTTGGAAGTAGCATTCAGCATATGAATGTGGGAGGGACACAATTCATAGCATTTGCCCCTGGCCCCCCAAATTCACATTCTTCTCACATGCAAAATACATTCATTTCATCCCAACAACTCTCAAAGTCTGAACTTATGCTAGCATCAACTCTAACTTATGCTAGCATCCCAGTTTCACCTACAGATCACGTAAAGCAGGTATGGGTTAGACTCAAGGTACATTTCAGACTCAAGGCAGATTCCTCTCTGCTGTGAACTTGTGAAACCAGACCAATGGTGGGACAGGCACAGGACAGATGATCCACTCTAAAAGGAGAGGAAGGAAGGGAGGGAGGGAGGGAGGGAGGAAGGAAGGAAGGAAGGGAAGGAAGGAAGGAAGGAAGGAAGGAAGGAAGGAAGGAAGGAAGGAAGGAAGGAAGGAAGGAAGGAAGGAAGGAAGGAAGGAAGGAGTAAATAGGTCCCAAGCAAGTTCAAAACCCAGTGGGCAATTCCATCAGATCTTGATGCCTTACCTTCCAGATTCACTAAAGCAGGGGTTCCACCTTCACAATCCTCTGCTTCAGCAGTCCTGCCACTGAGACTGGTCTGGGCAGTCCTACCCCCCAAAGCTTCAGTGTTAGGCCATGTGGCCTGTTGACACTTCAGGGTCCTCCCCATCTGTTGGAACTGAAGAGGTAGCCTGATGGTCTCTGAATCTATTCAGTCATGCCCCCCTTTCCTTGTAGTATAGGGCACATTTGCAGCTCTGCTATCTGGTCCTGTAGGATCTAAGAAGTCTGAAAGCCTGCCTTCATCTTGTCTAGTGTTTTCTGTCCCCTTTAGTACCAACTGGCAGTGTTTCTGATGGTTTAATCCCATCTCTATTCCTGGCTTCTGCTGAGATGGCTGATTAAACCCGTGAGTCACACCCATGATCTCTTTATCAAATGGCCCTTCAGCCATAGCTGAACAAGCTTTCTCATTTTGCAATGTGGATAGAGAGAATTTTCCAAATCTCCAAGTTCTTTTCCTTTTTGCTTAACAATTGTTTCTTCAATTCATCCCTCTCCTCTCACATTTTACTATAAACAGTGAGGTGGACGCAAGCTGCACCTTTAATACTTTGCCTACAAATCTCTGCTGAATACCCAGTTTCATTGCTCCCAAGTTCTCTCTCCCACAAAACAGTGGAACACAGTTCAGCCAAGGCTGCTGCCACTTTACAATGAGAATTGCCTTTCTTCCTGTTTCCATTTCTGTCTGAGAGCTCATCAGAATGGCCTTTGATGTCTGTATTCTAGCATGAACCTTAAAACCCTCCCAGCTTCCACCCGTTACCCAGTTAACAAAGCTACTTCCACATGTTTAGGTATTTGGTATAGCAGCGCCCAAATCTGCCTTGGTCTTGTTGGGCTGTCATACCACAGACTGGGGGGCTCAAATAACAGATATGCACTTCTCACAGCTCTGGAGGGTGGAAGTCTTTGAGAGCAAGGTACCAGCCGATGTGGTTTTGGTGTGTTCCTGGCTTGCACGCAGCCACCCTCCTACTGCGCCCTCACAGCCCTTCCTCCGTGCATATGTGTAGAGAAAGGAGAGATTGAGCTCTCTTTTCTTAGAGGACACCAACCCTCTCAGATTGGAACCTCAGTTATAAACTTTTAAAATCTTAATTACTTTCTAAAAGCCCCATCTCTAAATACAGTCACAGTAGGGGAAGGGGGAACCCAAGTCAGTACATAGCAATTTTTTTCTTGTTCTGGTTGGGTGTTTTTTGTTGTTCTATCTCCAAGTTCACGGATTCTTTCCTCTGTCCCTTCCATTCTGCTCGTGAGCCCATCACTGGCTTTTGCTATTGTATTTTTCAGTCCCATTTGATTCTCTGTTCTGTTTCTTTGCCGAGACTTTCTGTTTTTAAATTTGTGTCAGGCATGTTTGTAATTGCTGACTGGGATACTTCTACGGTAGCTGTTTTAATCTAACAGGTCATTCTAACATCTGGATCATCTCAGTGCTGGCCTCTGTGGATTGTCTTCTCATTCGAGATGAGTGATTTTCAGTTGAAATCCGTACATTTTGGGACATTATGTTAGAAGACTATACTGTTTAAATCTTCTATTTGGACTGGCTTCTACTTGGCCTCTAGTTGGTATTGGAAGTCCAGGTTCATCATTGGCCTCTGTTCGGGCAGGAGTAGGAGTTACAGCTCCCCACTAAGGCTCCACTGATAGCACCTAGCTGGGAGGGGCAGAAGTGTCTCATTACTGCTCCCCACACAACCTCTACTGACACCATGAGGTAGGGTTGGGTGGGGAGTGACCTCATGACTTGCTGAGAGTCCTGACCCTCCACTGTCCAAACCAGTAAAGAAGCGGAGATGTCTGCTCTCTGGGTAGGGTTAGAAGCCTGGTCTCCCCACATGGTTTCCATTGATATGCTGGAGTGGGATGAGAGAGGGGTTTTTTGGTGTGTTTTTTTTGTTTGTTTGTTTTTTTATCCTCTCTCCTCACTTGACCTTCTTTGACTCTACTCCAGGGTGGGGGTTACAGCCTGGTGAGGGTGGAAGTATAGGCATCCCACTTTGCCTTTGTTGGTGTGGATAGTGCTGAAGTTTTCTCCCATGATCTTTGGCTAGAGGAGGGTGGTTATTGTCTAAAAATTTTGTCTTGTGAGTCTACTCCTTTCTTAGTCCTTTGGGTGAAAAGAGAAGACTTTTCTTGGACCTTTTTTGGTCTGAATCTGTGGCATTTCTGGGTTGCCAGCTTCCTGATGGGGCAAGAGGAAAACTCAAGGGACTCCGTGCTGTCATTCTTCAGGTCCCTGGCCCCAGTAGCTTGTATCCTCAGAATTTCTTACACTGTTTTATATATGGTGTCCAGGGTTTTAGCTACACGTACTTAGAGGAAGAGGGGAGAGTACTCCTCCCTTTTCCCATGATGTCCTTTCTTTTGACACGGAAGTGATATGTCAAGTTGTGTCAGAGCTTGTAGTGTACCTAGGTTGTTTGTAACCAGTCAGGATTGGACTACCAAGAGGGATGCTCACTTGTTCCCCAGAGAGAAGCTGCGAAGTTGGTAGATAGAAACCACCAGGCTTCAAGCTTCATCCAGCTTTGAAGAAACTATAGTTTTTAAGTGGGGAAAACACCAGTGTTATTTATTTTATTTTATTATTTTTAATCTCACTTGACGTTTTTCTAATAAAAAGTTTTTTTTAGAGGGAGTGGAAGGGAAGGGGAGAGACAGGGAAAGAAACATTCATATGAGAGAGATATATTAATTGGTTGCCTCCCACATGCCTGCAACGAGGTATGTGCCCTTGACTGGAATTGAACCTGGGACCCTTCAGTCCATGGGCCAATGCGCTATCCACTGAGCCAAACCAGCAAGGATACCAGTGTTATTTTTTTAATCCTCACCCCAGGATACGCTTATTGATTTTAGAGAGAGGGGAAGGAAGATTAAAAGAAACATCGATGTGAGAGAGGGCACTGCTTGGTTGCCTTCCATACATGCCCTGACTTCAGATCAGACCTGCAACCTAGGTTTGTTCCCTGACTGGGAGTTGAACCCACAACCTTTTACTGGACGACACTCCAACCAACAGCCACATGGGCCAGGGCAGCCAGTGTTTAATTGTAGATTACAAGTTTGAGAAGGAAAGATAGATATGACTAAGAATATAAACTATGGAATTAAACATTTTTATTTGTCTCTGTTCCAAGAGCATGTGGGAACCACGGGAGAACTGAATTCTGAATTTTGTTTTTTTAAAAATATGTATTATCTATAGTTAGACATCTGTCATTTTTTTAAACTTTAAAAAAAATATATATTTTATTGATTTTTTACAGAGAGGAAGGGAGAGGGAGAAGGATACAGAGTTAGAAAAATTGATGAGAGAGAAACATTGATCAGCTGTCTCCTGCACACTCCCTACTGGGGATGTGCTCACAACCAAGGTACATGCCCTTGACCGGAATTGAGCCTGGGACCCTTCAGTTTGCAGGCCGACACTCTATCCACTGAGCCAAACTGGTTAGGGTGATATCTGTCATTTTTAATTTGACATATAACACAGGACATCAGAGAATCAACATAATAAAAAATGAAAATAACTGGGATTTGGGACATCACACTTTTTAAAAATGGGTTTCTTCATTTATGTTTTAAAATATGATACTTCTTGAGAGTGGCTAGATTAGATAATAGATACAAAGTGATTTGTAAGGCATCAAGTGCTAAATAACTATTATGTATTGTTTATAGAGTCCTTTATATGTCCTGTCCATCATGTATGCTTTCTGCTGATATAGCCCAATAAAAATGACTACAAATATAATGTAATGTTTCTTTTTATCTTTTGAAAAATAATTTTTCTTTTTTTTTTTTTTTAATTAAATCTTTATTGTTCAGATTATTACATTTGTTGCTCTTTTTTTCCCCCCATAACTCCCCTCCTCCCAGTTCCCGCCCCACCCTCCGCCCTCACTCCCCACCCACTGTCCTCATCCATAGGTGCACGATTTTTGTCCAGTCTCTTCCCGCATCTCCCACACCCCTTTCCCCCCCAGGAATAGTCAGTCCATTCCCTTTCTATGTCCCTGATTCTATTATAATCAACAGTTCATTCTGTTCATCAGATTATTTATTCACTTGATTCTTAGATTCACTTGTTGATAGACGCATATTTGTTGTTCATAATTTGTATCTTTACCTTTTTCTTCCTCTTCCTCTTCTTAAAGGATACCTTTCAGCATTTCATATAATCCTGGTTTGGTGGTGATGAACTCCTTTAGCTTTTCCTTATCTGTGAAGCTCTTTATCTGACCTTCAATTCTGAATGATAGCTTTGCTGGATAAAGTAATCTTGGTTGTAGGTTCTTGGTATTCATCACTTTGAATATTTCTTGCCACTCCCTTCTGGCCTGCAAAGTTTCTGTTGAGAAATCAGCTGACAGTCGTATGGGTATTCCCTTGTAGGTAACTGAGTTTCTTTCTCTTGCTGTTTTTAAGATTCTCTCTTTATCTTTTGCTCTTGGCATTTTAATTATGATGTGTCTTGGTGTGGTCCTCTTTGGATTCCTTTTGTTTGGGGTTCTCCGCACTTCTTGGACCTGTAAGTCCATTTCTTTCACCAGGTGGGGGAAGTTTTCTGTCATTATTTCTTCAAATAGGTTTTCAATATCTTGGTCTCTCTCATCTTCTGGCACCCCTATAATTCTGATGTTGGTACGCTTGAAGCTGTCCCAGAGGCTCCTTACACTATCCTCGCATTTTTGGATTCTTTTTTCATTTTGCTTTTCCGGTTGGGTGTTTTTTGCTTCCTCGCATTTCAAATCATTGACTTG